GAATTGTTGGATAATTACGAGAAAAATGTTGAGCTAATATTTTTAAACCATCATGCAAGATAAATATGTCTAATAATGTTGAATAATCTTTATCGGATGATAATAAATGCTGTTGATCATCTTTAGCTTTTTCATTCTATAAAAATAAAAAAAGATCATAAAAATAGACGACTGGAAATAAGAATTTTGTTGTTGAACCATTGTTGTATATGTTTCAACACATTGTAATAAATTTCAATTAACTGTTTAATATTACTTGTTTGTAATAAAAGTGTTTTTAATCAATGTCATTAATCAATTTCAAAATTATTATGCAAATGAAGCACAATGGTCACATATATATTGGACAACAGCACCGATATTTAATTCATCGTTAGCAAATCAAAATTTAAATACATTTAAGATCAAACGTCGTGCTAATCGTTTAATACCAACATTTCGTAATATATTCATAGACGGTGAACAATATATAGAACAACAACCATTATTTCATTCATGTTTTTCAATACAAACAACTTATTTAAGAACAAAAGAAAATCGTCAACAATCAAGACTTAGTTTAAAATATGAAATTGAAAATGAATTAAAACATTTATTTGAACGTTTATCCGATAAAACCGAAAATTTATCGATTGTAACACCATTAAGTTATTTACGTGCACAAATAAATACAATAAAAAAGAAATTAGGTGAAGATATTGAAACAACGTTAGGATCAAAATTAGGTTTAGAATTAAAAGAATTAGAAAATAAACGTAAAACACACTCAGTATTTACACCATATACAGAATTTATAATTAACTTAATTAATAATAAAACATACATAGAATTATTAATAACAGAGATATATTTAGAAAAATGGCGTTCATTATATGTACCTAATTTAAAATTAGAAAAAGAAAAGAAGAAACAATTAATATATGAACATGATAAAAATATAAAACGTTTAGAAGATCAAATTGATTCACAAAATAAAACTGGTAAAAAGTCTGATTACGAACAAACATTGAAATATTCAAATCAATTACGGAATGAAGCAATAAATTTAAAAAATGATATGGAAAAACTTGATTTAAAATTACATAATGTTGATTTAACAATTGGTTTATTTGTTGATGAATTATTTGAATTATACGATTATTATTTTGATGAACAACCAACAATGTTAGATAAATATCAAAATATGTTTGAACATTTAGCTGACCGTATATCACAATTAGTTTATAAAGGTTTTGCTATACATATATTACGTGGTAGACCATTATATAGTCAAAGTCGTTTAATAGAAAATACAATAAAAAAACTACGTGTTTCTGGTCGATTAGCTGTATTAACTGTTATCGGTGAACAATCATCGGCTAAAAGTTCATTATTGAATACTCTATTTGGATGTAATTTTCGTGTTAGTTCTGGAAGATGTACCATTGGAGTTTATTTAGGTAACATATAATTTGTCTTTTTTTTGTTTGTTTGTATTTAGATCAAGTTATTTTAGCGTTAGATTTACAGAATTACATATCTAAGATTCCTTTTTTTTGTTTTCTATTTATTCATTTCCCTTGAGAAGTAAAAATTTAAACAGTCTAGTGCGTCCCTCAAAAAATCTCGGTTTTTGAGGAGGTTTTCAGTTTTTTGCCATAGCTTCTTACAGGAAAACAAAAACCAATAATCTTAGAAATAATATGTAGTATTTTCAGTAGAAGTTCTAGTTTGCTCGGATAAATTATAAGAGTGGGAAGAGGTCGTAATGTTGGTGACATTTGCTGATTTTTTCGATTTAGAACCTCTGTAACTCCGCAAGAGCTGGGAGTTTCAATCTGAAAATATTATCATAAATATATCTCAAAGTGATACATATTTCCTGAAAGTAGTAATAAAAAATCAGAACCAGATATTACTAGTGTCAAGATTAGACAATAATACCATCTGCAGTAAGAGAATATGTTTTGTTGACACTAGTGACAAGTAACTATTAACGACATGTGTAACTACATTGTGTTTTATTAGGATCCTGCCAGGATCCTAATTCATTCTTAGCAAATCCAGCAACTTTCTGATCTTACAGATTTCTTTGGGATTATTTGGAATTTTGCTAGGATCGTAGGTACAAGTACATAAAATACGAGTAGGATACTGGCAGGATTTCTTTAGGATTTCGGAAGAAAAATTCATAGGAACAGTACGATTTTAATCGTTTATCAAAATGGGATATAACTGACGGATTTATATGTCATTGAAATGATGTAATTATGGTTATAAAATGATATAAAACCTGGTATCTCATTAATACAGCATAGGTAATCGACCACGCTGCTCATCGTGGTCATGTTCATTTCATTCTGCGTCAAACCACAACTCCAGAAAACTTGGCGAAAAGCCGGTTTTTCGCCTTTTACCGTCAAAAATTAAGAACCGTGTATTTCGCTCATTTCTTGTCCAAAAAGACTCAAATTTTCAGGAAATGTTTAGCAGAGATGGTAGAATGTAAATCGAATCGGAAAGATCTGATCTGCACTTTGGTTCCGTGGGAGGTTTTCCACAGATCCACTAAAAAGTCGTATGAATAAATTGGAAATCGTATGTACTTTTCGGTCGGCTTTTCACTAAGTTGGCTTTTGTGGAGTTGTGGTTTGATTGGGAATGAAGCGAAGATGGCCACAATGAGCAGCGTGGTCGATTACCTATGATTCACATGTTTGTAAGATTCCCAGACATGTCTACCATGAGATGTGTCCTTAGAACATTTGAACTACATGTGATAGAGACCTGCGGTTTTCAGCATTCGAAAGAGAGGATCAGGAAACTTATACCTATGGAAAATGAGAGCTCGCAATCAGGTTTACCATGGTGTACCATTCGAGGCAAAATCAGAAAGCTTACCGTTCCCAAACCGCACTTTGGCATCCTATCTCAAATAATTGCAGCGATATGTTAAAATGTACATATACTTCAGACATATATGCATAAGCGAAAGGAAGAGAATGACATTTATCTTACTGTTATCCACCACTAATCGAGCGTGAAAATATACAAGTGTAG